CCATCGTCTAGTAATAAAACGTAAAACGACGTTTCGGAGATGGGGCTCTATCTCCGTCTTCAGGTTCCTACTCAGTTGGGCCCACTAGATAGGGATTAGCTCTATCTAGTGGGCCCAACTGAGTAGGAACCTGAAGACGGAGATAGAGCCCCATCTCCGAAACGTCGTTTTACGTTTTATTACTAGACGATGGATAATATCCAAGTAAATTTTTATTCAGATTACACTTTAGGTCTGTAGAACCAAATCTCATCAAGATCCATTCAATATTATTAGAAATTAAACGTACGGACAGACACAAACTCCCCATAACTCGTTTATTTTTAAGTACTCGGTGCAAATAACATATAAAATAAGACTCTATACCCGTGTCCCTGCATCACGTCTTAAAGGTTTATAGAGATGGTGGACGAACTCCACACATTCTTAACCTTCGTACTACATGGAAGTGGGTGGTGAGTTTCAGGCTCCAGCCGTCTTATCCCCGATACACACTGGACAGAGGCTGCTAAGTTGGCCCCAAAACTGACCTGGTCTTGGATCCCACCCCTGCCGTGGAATTGAACAAAAATCTCTTTCACGACTGAGCGTTTAATGTGGGCCTATTTTAACTTATTTTGCTGAAATTATAAGAGTGACAGGCCCATTGCTTGTGTCAGGAACCACTAAAAGCGTTCACAGAACAAGGATCCTTAAATTTTTCATTCCTCAGATAGGCTACTACATAAAATTATTTTTTCTCGAAATGTAGGCGTTTTCTCCATTCAACCACCTGACACGGCTGGTAGCACGAGAAGAATTCATTACACTAAGTCGCCGTGAAAGCTTCAGATCATACGCCAGTGTAAATCTATTGCTTTCCAAGCCGAGAACTTCCTGTATCCACTTAACTGAGAAGTTTATCACGCATTCGCACTGCTCGGCCCTATCCTGAGCAAGACGAATCCAGCACTAGACTTCCACACTTATTTTATTAAGATCCATTTTAATATCATCCTCCAGTCTGTACCTGCATCCGAAGCGGGTATTTCCCCCTTGGGTTATATTTGTGTTCAAATGGCGTTAAAATTTGCGCTGTTCGAAAATAAAATTCTACGCTGAAAACAAGTTTCTATAAGTAGACTGACCTGTAGGGTAAGTTGACGAACAGACATGTCTGTTCTTTAGCAATACGGAGGCGTTGTACTTACGCCACTAATTGTTAGAGTTACGGTTTCGCCTAAAAAAGTACGCAAGGCAGCTATTACGTCATGGTCACATTTCACGTAATATTGAGGCTATGGGAAATGAAAACGCGATCTGAAAACGTTATTTCCAGTGCTGGATCTTCATGTGTTGATCTTTCAATAGACAAACATGATGGATGGATCTGAAGCCTTACAGAACAGTTCTTCCCTTCTTACACGTAAGTCTGACTGTCCATATAACGAAATGCGGATTTTGTTCCTTATCACGAAAGATATTTGTTGTCCAGAAACAGTCGAATTTCTGCTGTACAGAATTCTGGTGTTGGTATGACTAATGAAAACACATATTTTAAAACTTCAAACCAACTACTTACTGTGTCTGTCAACTGGGAAATAAAAGAGGTCTTAGCCAAATGCTAAAGAAGTGAAGACATTTAGTTCCTAAATTAAGAGTGACCTCGACACATCACAATTTAGTCTATACAGCAGCACATTTTTACACTCCACATATAAAAGGAGAATAGAGAAAATTACGTAACATTTGTGGACTTCAGAGACTATTCGAGGATGATTAAACGAAGAAACGAGGGCCATGAAGCATGATGTGGCGAATCAGAAAAAAATGTCTCAAAAGATATTACGTCTTCTTTAGTCGTAGATGAGAAGATAATACTAAAATGTAAAAAAAAAATCGGAAATAAGTTGTGGAGATAAAGTATAATAACAGGATTTTGTGAACACTGTGATAAACGTTCCTGAAACATGGATGACTTCTTCGACATAATAATAATAATAATAAGAAAGATGAAGTCACGCCAATTAGATCGCCTGTTAATCTTTTAAGTTCGTCTCTCCAAGGTAAGCACGGCTCGGAGTTGTTTTTTAAGTTCTGCAAATTAAAAGTTCCGTTGACAGGAATCTTCCCTCCAGTCGCTTTCAAAAAACCAAATATTTACACAACCTGTGTGTTCTGGCTACTCTCCGAAGTCCCATTTTCATCAAGACGTTCTCACGATGTTCCTGCCCTTATGCAACCCTACTTAACACTTTCTAATGACCAATCACTTTCTCCGACGTGTTGAAATATTTGGAATTAACTAATTGTTTTCGAATTTCCCTTTCCATTAACATTTATATTGACAATGCTGAAATTATTTATTGTTCATATGATATCACTTTCTCTCGCTAGAAAGCACCACAGGGCACATAACCGGTGAAATGTATCGTAGTTGTATGTGTTTCGTCATATATAGGAAGTCATTTATAACGTACACAATGTAACAAAGTAGAATTTGAGGTTTTCGCGGCGGCGAGTATGAAGATGGCTATCTTCTGTGTTGTACCGCTGTGCAGTCTGGGAGAAGTTTACCAACACCCTGATGATGGAGGCAACAAGAACCTTTGAAACGTTCGTAAACTTCTACCAGACTACGCGGCACGAAAACCCAGAATACAGCCATCTGCAATTAAAGCAAATTAGAGTAAAATCAAGATGGACATTAACTTATGTAAAATAAATAGGACCTGACCATGAACTACACGGAAACTTTGAACTGCGCCTTTATCCGAAGAACATGACTACTATACTCCTATGTTCGGTTGAGGTGTGTCTACCATCTTTTTTTTAATTAGTACTTACCCACTGAAAAGTAAAGTTGTCACGCTATGAAGATAGGAATGGATGAATAGAAGTGGATACAATCAGTACAGTACACCAAAATGTTTGAAAGAGCGCGTTTGTCGAAAGAAATGATCATGCAAATTAAGCATACCCTGCCATCTAGGGTAGAGTTTAAGATGTGCCAAATGAGAATGTGAAGTGTACTGCCATCTGGTATCTATATTCGTAAATGTAACTCAATGCACTATATATATATATATATATGCAAACATACGATGTAAATGTAATAAGATTCTAAGAGTAAAATATAATTTAATTATACTTACAGATGAAAATTGTCAACACAGGACTCTGCAAAAGTTTCATAACCTTAATACAATTTCTCGGGCTAGTAACCTTTCGACATGTATCATCACTTGCTGACAGTCTGTACTGTTTGTTCAAAAATATTGGCAGATACTCCTCATGTCTTATTCAAAATTAATTTAGTACTTACATATTGAAAAGTAAAGTTGTCACGCTATGAAGACAGGAACAAATCAGTAGAAGTAGGTCAAATCAATACACATACACTTGTTGAATTAGACCGTGATAGTTACACCAAAATGTTTGAAAGGGCGCGTTTGTCGAAAGAAATGATCATCCATATTAAGCCTACCCTGCCATCTAGGGTAGAGGTGAAGATGTGCCAAATGAGAAAGTGAAGTGTACTGCCATCTGGTATCTATATTCGTAAATGTAACTCAATGCACCGTATATGCAAATATACGATGTAAATGTAATAAGATTCTAAGAGTAAAATATAATTTAATTACACTTACAGATGAAAATTGTCAACACAGGACTCTGCAAAAGTTTCATAACCTTAATACAATTTCTCGGGCTAGTAACCTTTCGACATGTATCATCACTTGCTGACAGTCTGTACTATTTGTTCAAAAATATTGGCAGATACTCCTCATGTCTTATTCAAAATTAATTTAGTACTTACATATTGAAAAGTAAAGTTGTCACGCTATGAAGACAGGAACAAATCAGTAGAAGTAGGTCAAATCAATACACATACACTTGTTGAATTAGACCATAATAGTTGAAAATGGCGGGATCGTCGAGAAAACACTGCCAATCATATTATGCATGTACTGCGATCTACCATTGGTCAACTACGATTCAATGAGAATGTGAAGTATCCTGCCATCTGGTACATATATTCGTAAACTTAGTAAACTACGTGTGTAAAATCAATATTTAAATAGAATAATAGTTGAAAATGGCGGGATCGTCGAGAAAACACTGCCAATCATATTATGCATGTACTGCGATCTACCATTGGTCAACTACGATTCAATGAGAATGTGAAGTATCCTGCCATCTGGTACATATATTCGTAAACTTAGTAAACTACGTGTGTAAAATCAATATTTAAATAGAATATAAGTAAAATTAAATTTAATATCACTTCAAGAGGAAAAAAAGAATTCCTCAATCACTGTATGATTATGAGATGTAATCTGCACCTTTTTCTCATCATCCTAATAACATTTGGTGAAGAGTATAAATTATGCAGATTCTCATTATACACTATCATCTAAGGAATGACTAAATAATAAGCAAAATTCAATTAATACCAACTGATCTGTTTCAGGAGTGACTACCCAGAAAGAGTCGCAACAACTACCCTCTCCAGCCAAAGTAACCAAAGAGCTTCACAGCTTGAAGGCACAGCCCCATGAACATGTGACTAACTTCCTTGGAGTGTGGGGACATATGGTGCTGAAGGACTTGGCTTCTACTCTGAACTCAGGTGGGACAATACAAGTCTGTTCATGGTGGAAATCTACCAGACTACACTGTGCAATAACCCAGAGGACAGCAATCTTCTTGTGAAAACCTCAAATCCTACAAGTCTGTTAATGATATGTAGTAATGTAACCCCCACAGTGAGGCATTACTACAGTCAGGATAAAATGCAATGGTTTGTGGTCCTGGAATAAGGGGTCCCAATGACTGGCTCTGTAAGTCATGAATTATAGTGTACATACCCCTATATGACATCATTCCTGAGTCCAATGGAGAACTTTAGAGGATTACAGTTAAAAATCACACATTTATGTTCGTTATTGTAGCCTCCCATCATATTGATGCAGTGGCTTCTGTAATAGGATTGGTTACTCTTACTATATGCTGGCCTGATACAAAGAAAGCACATCATGATATTTGAGGGTATGACTGAAAGTGTTGAACTCTGTGCAGATTCTGTGGACTGCTGTAACTACCAGCACCATGAATGCAACTCTCTCAGAAATGCAGATAGCTGCCACAGCCACATTCGTTCTGC